TTTTAGGGGAAAGCTCTTAGATGTCCTGTGTGAAAAAGCAATGAGAACTGGTTTTAAGATGGGCTGCTAAATTCGAGAACAGATGTAACTCGTTTCTCTCAAACAATGGTTTTACTAGACTTTATTTTATCAAATATCGGCATAGGATTCTTGTAAGATAGCAAACACTGAGGAAATACTACAAAAAAATAAACCAATGTCCAATATTTTTTCCTGATCGAATTATCTATACATCACCCCCTATTATCAACGCTACTGCCTGTAGAGAATACGAAGATCCGAAAATAACTGAACCAAGCAGGCAAAGCTGCTGGTATCGGCATTGTACCCTTTATGAAAACTACAGTCACCAAGGCATGCCAGATGGAATGGATCAGTACAAATCGACACTGAGACAGGAGGCTTCAGCTCCTACGTTTTAAGACAGAACTACATGCATATGGTGGATGTTGGCGTCTTTTGCAAAGAGCTCTCGATCAAACGCCATCGGGCTTCCGAATTGCTATAGTACTTTCCTTCTAAACCTGGCGAACCGGAGCCGTTATACATGTGTTAATGTGTTTGAGTTAATAGTTACATACTATTAATTTTAATATTTTATTTATTTATTTATTTTTCATTTTAATAGTACCGTTAATTCACTTCTAGCCACGTGTTTCCTTCTGAAATTCTCGCTTGAGTTCGTACTAGCCGTTTGTACTAGCCGCTCATGTTGCATCCAGTATTAAACGACTGCGCACGGCAGTCTCGTATATGAAAAGAGATGGAATAGTACGAATATTGTGTCTTTTTAATCCGGCTTATTACCTCTGCCTGTACTTTTTATTTCCTTGCAGGTTGCTGAGGATAAATAATTCACTTGCCCTCGCCCTTATTTCCGTATTCTTTGATATGTCCGGGGGTCATTCTTAGCCATTAGTCTAGCATCCTACAGGAATTTCCATCATTGTGTTAGTAGAGAATCTCGCCAGAGCCAGAAGAAGCTAAGCTAAGTTCTGAAAGATACATATATCTTGATTGTGCTGACAATTGTGAAATTTTTCTGTAATCTCTGAAAAAATATTTTTTTGTTCTTCCGTCGGCCCTGCCCTTAATCCGGCGCTGCTTCTAAGCATTGTTACAAAAGATGCAGACTACAGTTTGATGAGACACTTTAATGTTTTTTTTTTTTTTTAATTTTTTTATGATTCCATTTCAGAGTGTGTTGAAAAACTTTCACAATGACTTTTGGAATTTAAGCATGAGTGTAAATTTTTAGCATAGCCAGTTATTGCTTGTACTCATTATAAACAATTACCCCCTTCGAGTTGTAATCTTTTTTTTGCAATGCAAATTAAAAAAAAATTAGAAAGCGAATTCACAAATACAAGGGGATGGCAATAATCCAAAAGCAAAATTCACACGTATTTTTTTGTTGTCTTTTTGCTTTTGCGGGTTAGCCTGTCAAATCAGTTAAAGAAAGCACATTGATGATGCATCCCTGCTGAAGTCGAGAAAAAAAGAAGTCTGATGAGGAGATGTGGTGATCTTCGCAATAGCAGCTATATCTTCTACCGCTTATACTTTATTGCTTTTTAAATTTTTCCTAATAAACACAATCGCGGAACAAAGGTCAATAACATTATTAAATAAAATGTTAATAAGCCACAATAATATTGACAAAAAATTTTAACCATTGGCGACCGAGAGGTCATGTTTCCATTTGTGGTTTAATTGAAACCAGTTATTTTCTAAATATTTATATTAAAGAAAAGAATGTGACTTAATTATAAAAACTATTTCTTCAGTCGCTATTTTTGAAAAATATTTATATATTTTTTTTCCTTATTTGTCTGCTGAAAAGTTAAAAGGAGCTGCCTTGCAGCAACAAAGGCTGTTTACCATCCCTCTTATCTCCTCTCTTGATTTGGTTCTCCCTTTCAAATGTTAAATAGTTCACTACTGACAATATCAAGCCTACCTATAAAAAAAGCTTGTAAAAAGGCAATTTTCTCAGGATTCGCTAAATCTGAAAACTCGTTTTCCATGTAACGGTATTTTTGAAAAAAAAACAAAAACTGCGATATTTAAGTAACTTACCGCAGCCAAATTACTAAAAATTTATATATAGGGTGAACTTTTAGCACAAAATTTAGTATTTAATAAATTGTTTTAAATGGGCGTGGTCAAACCCCATTATCATGAAATATGTGTACCCACCTAACCGGTTTCATGTTAGCCCCATTCAGAAATTCTTTGGAACCTTTGCGATATCGGATAATAACCACGCGACCTCCCCTGTATTGGTATTTTTGAAAGGTACAAATTCTACGGTAATTTACTATAAATTTTTTACTAAATTACTCAGGTTTGTATTTTGAAAAATTCATGTGCCGAAAATCTGTTTTTTATAAAATAAATAGATTTTTCTTAAAAGGTTTGTAGCTATGGTACGGCTGAATTTAAGCTATATTTTAACTAAAAACAAGAAAATGAGTTGATATAAACACGGTAACAACTGTATTTGCATTTAATTCATGGGATGTTTAAGCAAAATTAGTATTTGTAGTAGAAGAACTTACACAGCAACTCAAATAAGCGTTCACATGATTTTCTTTAAATGTTCAAAATGTTTTTGAAGATAAAATCTTTATGCTAATTTCCATAAAGGTATTGTTCATGCTATCACCAAAACCACACAAATTAAAATGCGAAACTCTATAAAAAATCTAGGAAGATTCAACAAATGTTCATAAAAATTTCTTACCTATTAAGAAATTCATGTCCTTATGGAAGAAAATGCGATAGTTCAGATATAAAGTATATAACCTATAAAACTGCTAATTTTCTAAAAAACTCAGATTAAGAAGTTACAAATTTTCACGAAAATTTGTTGAATTTTCCAAAATTTTGTACAAAGTTTGAAACTTTAATTTATATGGATTTAGTGATGCAGGCTGCAATGTGGTAGCGTTTTTTGCTAAAAATGCAACTTCCGTCACATCCAACCAACAGATGTATGAAATACCTGTTAGTTAATAAAAAAAAAATAATATATCGATATCTGCACCACATAGCGGATTAGTTCATCTTTCATATTGGATTGTCATCGGGTTCTGAGCTACGTTTGCCGTTTCAAGTCTCAACACTCTAAAAAAAATTGTGTAAATTTCCTAGCTTTAAGGTCCTGATTTCCTACCTTATTATTCGCGAAATTACATGCTCGATTTTTCAACGAATAGTTTGTTTAAATTTCGGACTTTTTGGAGTGTGGTATAGCTGCTGTAGTATGCATAAGTTTACTACGAAAGTATGTACAAGCTACAAACTACCCACCTGCTGTTTGATTTCACCCGTAGAATTGTGTAAAGTCGCTAACAAAAAACGATTTTACAGACGAAAATGTGTAAACGAGAAAAATACATATTCATCGTGTAAATTTACTTAAGAATTAAAAAAATAAACAAAAATATACTCGATTTATAATCACATTTTTAAATAGATATTTTAGAGTGGACCTCATCGGGAAGTTGGTTAAACTGCATTTCAAGGTTTAATTACACAGGTGAAAGTGGCTAGTAGCGGGCGTGTATGGAATAACCGCGCAAAAATGTGCAGCTATAATATATATTGTTTTAATCTACAGGCAATGGGATTTCATTAAAAAAAAAACTAAGTGTGGCCCTGAGTGGCAGGGTTTTTAAAAGTTTATGTAAAAAAGATAAAAAAGAAATTAATCAAGCACAAAAAAGACTTCGCTTAGAACCGATATAAATAATACAATTTTTAATATTTAAATATTGATAAGTATTGTTCTATGCAAGTGCTCCTGTTTGCATTACACAGTTTCTTGAATGAATTCCTCGCTTTCATAAAATAAATATAAAAAAGTTAGAAGTATTGCGTCACTGAAAACACGATTCACAAGGAAAATGTGTTTTGCCAACTTTTGAGAGTGAGGAAGTTAACTAAAAAATTGTTTAACGCAAAAAACGTTACACTGTAATGAAGTACCATTAATAATGTCTGATAAATCACAGGCTAGATAATGTGCTATGGGGCGTATACATTACATACACACCTGCGGGTACATAAGTACGAGTTGATATTTTTACTTTTTAGTACATCTTTTTTAAGTTTTAAATTAAATACAATTTCGCGGTGGAATCTTGTTCTTTATGCAAGACTGAAGATAATGCATTCTCTATGATAAGTGTACCACCGTTTTTGACCAAAAACATGTTTTCGTCGAAAAATGTAACAAGTCATGCGATTCGCTCATATACTTAGGATTGATCATTTGAAGCCTGTTCGAAAATTGTATCATACTAGAAATGAATAGGAATAAAACTGCATACCCAAAAATTTTCTTAAAAATTCTAAAACGGATTTTATGCATAATTTTGATGAAACTTTATAGAGTTTTTTTAACAAAGTTTAAAACTTGAATTTATGTGTTTTTTTGTTACTGAATTAACTAGTCTTTCATAAAAAAATATAATTTAAATTAAAAACTAGTCAAAACGTAGCAATACGTGGGTGTCTTGTAGTTATGCTAAGCCCTATAACCCAACAAACTCGAAACAAATCCTTAAAAATTTCTTTAGTAACACCATATAGGCTATCCACTCAATGAAATTCTGTGGTCTTTTATTTTAATGGTATTTTTACTTTTGTGGTTTTCCAGTATTGGCCCAATCCACAATTTTTCGATCCCGAAAGATTTGCGCCTGAAAATCTACCCTCCATTAAACCAATGACCTACATACCCTTTGGTGCGGGTCCACATGGATGCGTAGGCAGTCGACTGGGAATATTGCAAGTCAAGCTGGGACTAATATATATTTTAAGAAAATATCGCGTTGAGGTCTGCGAGAGAACAGTCAACGAAATTCGATTTGATCCCAAGCGTTTCATGCTAGAAGCTGAGGGTGAGCTATATTTGAAGTTTGTCAAGGATGAGTTATGCTGATATTGTTAATTATAAGTCATTGTGTTTTAAGTATTAAAAAAAAAATTACTGTGATAATTTTTAATTTATTCACAATATATATAAATATGTAAATAACAAACAAGAAACAAAATTACAATAGTGTATTATTACTACAATGCAATTTCACAGCTACACAATGGTTATAAATTAACCCACAAACAGAAAAAGAGCTGCTATTTTTTTGTATTTCTAAATCGCACTCAAAATAACGGATCCCGTACAACATTCACGTGAATACCACCAAGCGACTGGATAATAACGGCACGTGGATCCAATTGAATTTTCTGCGGCGTTTTGTCACAAGCCGTTACATAATGATTGCGATAGAAGTAGAGCAATCCCAACTTTGTTTGCATCATTGCGAAGCGTTCACCAATACAATTATGGGGGCCAGTGCCGAATGGCATATATGCATTCATATTGTTGTCTTGCTTATTTTCAGGTAGAAAACGATCGGGATTAAATTGCTCGGGATCTTTGAAATTCTAAAAGAATACAAAAAGAAAATGATTAAGTAAAAGTGTCATAAAAGCTTTTTAAGCATAAGATAAAAAAAAATGTCGGCTTCCAAACACAAGCACTCACCCTTGGATCCATTTGTACAGCCTGATTTGGTATGTAGATAGGCATATCTTCAGGTACAACGAAATCAATGCCGAATTCCTTCAGCGAATAACCCTTTTCTCCCGCTTTCGGCGTGCATACGCGATCGAGGAAAGGTAATGGCGGATAACGGCGTAGCACTTCCTTTACAACATTATCCATATACTTGAGACCCATTATCAGTTCGTAGGTCACTTTGCCGTCATTACTCTGCAAAGCTGTGCGCATCTCTTCGCGCAAACGTTGCTGCATTTCGGGGTGACGCGCCATTTCGAACATTGTAAAAGACATGGTTGATGATGAGGTCTCAAAGCCAGCCGAGAAGAAGATAGCTGCTTGTGCCGCCAAAGCGTCTCGCTCTAAAATGAATGGTTTTTTACCTTCCTTCAATTCTACTTCTGCTTCACGTCGGAATTTAATCAAAGTATCGATGAGATCATTGCGTACAGCTCCAGTGCGAATGCGTTCCTCCATAACATGATTGATGGTGTTGCGTAGGAAGACTGTCGTTTCTGCGGAGAAGACCTTGAAGCGGAATATTTTCACCAAGATGGGTAAAAAGAAGAAAGCTTTGAACTCCATGGCACGTAGCCAAGTGAAGGTGAAAATCTTCTTGCCACTCTTGCGGAAAATGCCATTGGGGTCATTAAGGCTGTTCGCCTGTATGCCATAAGCGGTGATTGCAATCACATCGGTTGTATAGAGCGCATTCGGTTCCTTTACCTCCATCATCGTAGAATTAGTTTTCGGATCCACTTTCAATGCACATAAATACTTGTCATATTCGCGTGCAACCTGCGAGATGTGAGAAAAAATAATATTATTTTCAATTGTTTGCAAATGCGTAAAAGCGGTTGGCATATATTGTCACGATAATAATTTTGATAATTGAAATAAAATGCAACATCAAAGTGCATATTTACAGATTACACATACGCCCCGCCGCCCAACTACTCACTAATATACATAAACTTTCACTACGAAATTAATTTCAACTAAAGCGTACTTTTGCCCTCAGACCGTCTTTAATTCCTTAGTTTTTTTTGTTTAATTCGCTTACACGCTCCTTTTGTTTCAAAAGGTAAGGTAAGTAATTGTAAAATTAAAAGCGATTATTTTCATGTTCGTCATTGACTGCTAACGGGTTTCGCAATAAACAAACCAAATTAGCGAGTTCTATATTAGAACTGAAACTAATTGTTAATATGCAATTATAATTTCACTATAATTATAGAAAGAACGATGTATGCATGCACTTACATTAGGCGGTATCACGCCCCAACAAAAAAATGTTTGTAAAATTTCTTGAATTTTAGGAGTGCCACCAAAATAGTTGACCTCAATTCAACATTCCCACGACGGTCGGGTCTACGGAAATGGAACGGCCAAGGTTAATATTTGACCAGGGACTGTCACTAAAACTTCATTCCCCAAAAACTGATTGGGAAATTTATATGCTGCTACAATAACAGCAACAACTTCGATTGAATGTCATTAAAAATGAATGGCGACGGGCACACCCTTAAAATTTGTGTTTTCATAAAAAACGCCGAACTCCTTTTCAGAAAATGTCTTGAAAAAATTTTGAGATACGTACATATGAATCGGTTAATTACAATAAGTCAGCATTTTTCCGATATGGAAAATTTAATGCAGCTCCTTTAAACCAAACGAACTGCATCAAAATTTTCATATCGCCAAATTCTGATTTATTTCCTTTGGTAACTAACCTATTCATAAAGATGTAAGAAACTCAGCCATTTGTTTTGCAATTTTCATTTTAAAATTATCCATGAAGGAGAATTTACCTCATTTACCATGGCCCACCCTCGTTCTTTCTCTTTTTTAGAAATAATTTCACCGCCAACTTTTTCGGGGCACCTGGTTATATTATTGTATTTCGCAAAGAAATTCAACGTAGTGCAAGAATACTCCAATTGAAAAGCCCTTGTCATTGTACCTGAATCAGAAGTTTGCAATTGCTCTCCAGAGGCCAGTAGCTCCAGTGTCATCTTTTGTCTTGAGTGAAAACCCGAATCTCTACGTGGTTATCTCACAGGAAAGATATGGGATTAATTTGACACTTGGGACCAAAAGCGAAGGGATCAAAATCTCTGACAGAGAGGTTTTTGCAACTAGATCCAATGACCTTGACCGCATATCGTCGTTTAAAGTACAAAACCGCGTATCGTCATTCTGCAAAACCGCGTAACTGACATTGGCTGCCAAAAATTGGATTTGCTCACACAAGCTCTTGGCTCAATCCTTATCCATTCATCCAAATATACTAGCCAGAAATGCGATTGCTTTATAAATAAATAATATAAAAACAAGTAAGAAAGTCTAAGTTCGGGCGGAGCCGAACATTAAATACCCGGCGCAAGTATTAAATATATGTTTTTTCACCCTTCCGAAACCTTCCGCTAGATGGTAAGCCGAGGTGTATCAATTTTGAGTAAATTAGCGTCCTTCAATTTCGAATTATTGAAGTTTCAAGCATTTCTTAAATTTACCGTTATATGAGAATCGGCCGTTATTTTAGTCCGATTTCAATAATTTTCAACGTTTTGCTTACAAGTGGCAAGTACAATAACCATACCGAGTTTGGTACAAATTGGTAGAACGGTTATCGATATACTTATATGTGATCATAAGTGGGCGGTGCCACGCCCATTTTCCAAAATTTTACCATAAACGTATTTCTTGGTAAAGAATTGTTACAAGCATCAATTTTGAATAAATTAGCTTCAATATTTAATTATTTATCGAAGATTTTGTATTTCTCTAAATTACCGTTATATGGGATGTGGGCGTGGTTATTGTCCGATTTTAAAAAGTTTCGGCGGTTTTTTATGCTGTACCAAGGCCAACAACTGTGCCAAGTTTGGAAGAAATTGGTGCAGCGGTTACCAAGATATACACATGTAACCATAAGTGGGCGTGGCTACGCCCATTTTCCCAAAATTTATAATATTCTTATTTTTCGTCTAAAACTTATTGTAAATATCAATTTTGAGTGAATTATCTTCAGTAGTTACTAAAATATCGCAGTTTTCGTATTTCTGGAAATTACCGTTATATGGGAAGTGGGCGTGGTTAAAGTCCGATTTCGCCCATTTTCAATACCACCCTACCTTGGATTAAGGGAAACCTACATACCAAATTTCATTGAGATATCTCAATTTTTGCTCGAGTTATCGTGTACACGGACAGACGGACAGACGGACAGACGGACGGACAGACAGACATGGCTTAATCGATTTCTTTTTTCATCCTGATCATTTATGTATACATTTGTCTATATCTATCTCGATTCGTTTTGGCTGTTACAAACAACCGTTATGTGAACAAAATTAATATACCCTTGTGCACAAGTGCGCTCGGGTATAAAAAACTTTTTAATATACAACGCTATTATAAATGGACTAAAAAGTAGAAAATAATATTTCTCAGTCCCATAGAAGTTGTTTTGATAACTTTTGATTTTGAAATTTTAGCAAAAGTCGTTATAAACAACTTATGAGATTGAAAATGAAAAGCGTGGGGCGCATATAATAGCCACCTGAATTGATATGAAGGGTAATATATGTTCATATGTATGTGGATATATGAATAACGACCGCTTAAAATCGATCTCAAATTTGTACTTTCGCTGAAGAAATTTAAGTTCTATGTTATGTAGTTTGCCTATTGTCAATTAAATATAAGGGCTATTCGCGATCCGGTGCAAATGGCCTAGCATCATTGCATTGCAAATTTGTATTGCAAATTATTTGCAATACACAAACAAAATACACGCATTTGCATTTGTCATGGCTTGGCAAATTTGCAATACCGAAAATCCATAGCATAAAAATGCTATGCATTGCATTCATAAACAAAACCAAAGCTGATGCACAAAAATTGTTTTGCAAAAGCTTTACCATGACAGTTTAATAAAGATCGCTCACAATCCATGGCATATTTCTGCAATTGCATAAATTTGTCAGCTCTTATGCACCGAATCGCGAATAGCCCTATAATGCTTTGTATTGCATGCGCCCCACGCTTTTCATTTTCAATCTCATAAATTGGTTATAACGACTTTTGCTAAAATTTCAAAATCAAAAGTTATCAAAACAAATTCTATGGGACTGAGAAATATTATTTTCTACTTTTTAGTCCATTTATAAAAGCGTTGTATATTAAAAAGTTTTTTTTTTTATATTATTTATTTTCTACTTTTTTGTCTTGCCTGTATAAAATTTTGCGATAGATATTAAAATAATTCAACGATATTAATAGAAAGGTGCACACAGATGCATTTACATATGTATGTACATACAAACGAGCACCAATTAATTTTATTTAAATATATGGCGTGTCGTCTATTTCCGCTGTAGCGAACGTAGTACATAGGGCGACATCTAGATGTCATCTACCTCGCCCTATTCACTACGGATGTCGCCCTATGCACTATGCTTTTTTATAGGAACTTTTCAAAGCAAAGGTTTTATGGTGTCGGACACACAACATTGAAAGTTTCTGGATCCACAACATTAAAAGTTTCTGGAGCCACAACATTGCAAGTTGATAAAAGCGTTGTAAAAAGAGAACCATTTTGAAATATTAGTGTTTTTACGCTCTAGAAAATAATATCTACAACTTCACATACGCCGTTTTGCATTTTGCTGATACGCGGTTTTTTAAAACCTCGTAACTGACTTTTGTGCCAAAAAAGATATTTACCTACCGGAATCTCCTAGCATCAAGCCCTTATCCATTCGTACTAAAATATCGATACTTAGACATAAGAAGAAGAACCGTTTTGAAATAACACAAGTTTTACTCTCTCCTATAAAATTAAGGCAGCCTCACATACGAGGTTTTGCATTTTCGTGATATGCGGTTTGGTACTTTAAACGACGATATGTACATTGGTACACAGACAGATCAAGGATGGAATTCAAAACGGGTGGAGTATTTATGGACCCGCCACTGGACATTCTTTTGCAATGGCCAGATCTTTGCGAGACTAAACCTTGAATAGAGTTTTAAGGAGTGCGTTTCAAGTTATCTCCTCAGAAAACCAACCAGGGCCTTATCCAGCTGGATATTCACTTCCGGGCTTGTTTTTTAACTTTCGTCAACGCTTGGAAGCAAGAAACATGTTAACACACAAGCTAGGTCTCTATAGTTGTTTGACAACCATCAAGGCGCTCAACCAAAATCGAAGGAGAAACTCAGGCAAGGACTTAGCATTATTAAAATATATGAAGCGCCAATTGCAGTATTTTTAATCATTTTCGTTTAAGATCTTTTAATTGATACAATGTTTTAAATTAAATAAGTCGTGTTTTTTACTGTGTGCACAATCTACAGTTGAAAGCCGCGCAAGGTCAATCAACTATGCCTTTGGGAATGGCATCAGACTTGCGGCGAAGAAGTTAATGAACGACGTAGTATAAACATGAATGCATTTAGATTCACCAAAAAAATAATTCAAATTGCGATTATGATTTTTAGCATAACTTTAAACGCCGCCAATTTCCGATTCAACTTGCTTTTGCTATAGCAACCAACAAGTAACAGAGCAGGCATTGAAGGTTTGCGGAATCTATTTACAGTAATCGCGATTTATCAAATCAACCACGCTATTTGTTTACGCATTATGCAACGGTCATTGGAACAGTCCTTATCACTTAAAGTCTATAATTACCATTAAACGTTTTTGCAGGGATATTCGTAGGTTCGACTTTCGACAATCTACGAAAATTACACAAACAGTTGACCACTAAATAACTGAAATACATAAATCACGTCAGTCTAAAGTATATTTGCAAGACAATAAAGATCATAATTTTTTTTGTTACAACGTTTATTAACCTCAAGTATCCCTTCCTTACTCACCAGATCTCAGTGCCAGTAAATGTGGTTAGGTAGCTGGCTAGCCACTGCGTGGCTTCGCAGGCCATAATTAAGATCGCTTGAAGAGGAATCGGCACTTCTTTATCAGCATAATTGCACACAGGGCGCCTTCTTCGGCAAGGCTGCCGGTCTCCTCATTGGTCTCCTCTGTGTCCGTAGGACCTGCACATAAACTGCCTGGTAGCAGTTTATGACACTAAATTCATGACCGATAGGTCCGTCGGCAATAGAAGCAATGAGGTGTAAAGTACTGCCACTGGTGCAGTTATAAGTGTTCCTATAATGGAAATCATAAATAGCCTATATAAGGACACTTTCTGTTCTCTTAAGAAATGTATTCCTATCCATTTCTGGTCTCCGAACCAATACGCCATGTAACAGTAAATTAAAGCTCACCAAAAATCATAAAACTTTCGCTGAGGAAGTATTTTAATTATTCCAGTAGATCTATGTAAACAACAGTAAAAAATCTACCCCTAGGTTTGGCAAACAAAATTTTGTTTTCGTAATGGTTTGCAAAAATACTTCAGACTCAGGGGTATACATATATTGAGCCATAATAACTCTTCGGATAGACAGTTTCCTAGTTGGACTCACGATCCAACTATTCACCCAGACTGAGTTCAAAGCTAAGTAGATGCTATTGTGATTATGCATGTCATATTAGTAGACTCAAGTCCAGAAAATCTTTATCCGCTATGCTTTGCGTAAGTGTTACTGTAGAGAAAATATATAGAATAAAACCGGTTTATCCGGGTTTTTCTTAGTTTCATATGTATCTTTACCCTTGCATATTATTTGATTTCATACTCGTATCTATGAACTTGGTTTGAAGTACCACGATAAGTCTGTTTGGGGCCATGCGAGCAAGGGGAGTCTATCTAAAAAAAAAAAAATTGTTTCGAATAATATGAAAAAAGGTTCTCTAAATAATAAATACTGTCTTTTATTGAAAATTTCGTGGCATCTACGTGATGCGTATATGTATATATATATCGTACGTTTAATAATATAACGAAGTATTTCAAAATTTAAGTTTTGTGGGAAACCGCAATCAAAGTTTTATCATTTCATACAGTTGGTATACAAAAAGACAGTGGAAAAACATATATCTTTACCATATTTGGGAATTTTGTTTATCTGTTGGATTGATCATATACTTACGGAGACCATTCGTACCGATTTGGATGAAATTGTCTCGCTGAATATTTTATTAAAATCGGGACGTATAAATTTTTAGAAACATTCTGAGTATGCAGTTTTGTTGCCCAATTTTAAGTCTTATCGTTTGTTTTGGTAATTTTTCCTGGAAATTCTTGCTCATTTTGTCCATACAAAAAAAAAATGTCGTACATACTTTGCATGTAAGAAAATGTGTGAACACAAAATTGCCAAAAATCAGCGGTAAGACCAAACTACTTCGAACCTGCACTTTGTTATACTAAAATTGAGTGGACTACAAAAATGCCTTCTCGGAAAATTTAAGGAATCTGATTAAAATGTTTAAAATTTGATCAACATATACTTAAATTCGTGGAATATTTATAAATTTTCTACAAAGTTTTAAATTTTGATTTACATGTTTTTTTTTAGATAGTAAGCTATATATTCATAAAAAAACGTTCTAAAATATCTTTTTTTCCTATTAACGAGGGATGTTTCCAAAGTTCTTGGAATTGTGCTTTAAAAAAATTGCCGAGAACTTATAGGCCATATTATTGGACAAGTTTTGACATGTTTATGCAACTATCAAGTGCAATATTAGCTGTTCGATTGATACAGATGCGTTTTCATAGCAGTGTTTTTGTAACCATTACAGACACAGCAAAATCTCAAAGAGCAATAATTTTCTTTTTGTGGAAATGCGGACCAATGCGACAGGTATTTGCCAAAAAAACCACTTGGAAAGTTATATAAGCGTCCGCAATTGCAACAGGATAACGCAAGACCACACACCACAAGAAAAACGAATGATGTTTCGAACGATTTACGATGGGAATTGCTTCCGCACCCACTTTATTCCCCTCGGATCTCACACCCAGTGATTATCATCTGTTCCCAGATTTGAAAAACCCTCGATTTGAATGTTTAACTGACGCAAAACGTGCCATAAATAGGTGGATTGAGGAGACATCGAAAAAGTTCTTTGAGGACGCACAGTGCCGCCTAAGTGGGCAAAAATCTAAAAATTCGTTATCGGCCATGTGAACGGGCTTGGTATTTTTGTAAAGAAAATTTATTCACTAAAAATAATTAAACAGAAACTACCCTAAAAAATAAATTATATCCCGCCAGGAAGCCACTAAAGTCGACAAATTTTATACTAAGAATTTTAATAAGAGCATAGCCATGCGTAAGCTCTTCACCTAAATAAAGGTCAAACGTACATTCTTTGAAATAAAATATTGGTACACAGGGTGTCCCTGCGGTATCCCAGAAAAATCTTTTTTTTATTGAAATTTCAAAAAACTGTTAATTTTAGTGGAATGAATAAAAAATATATTTTTTATTATTTTATTAAATAGCACGGGTTTTTGGTTTTCGAAATAAGAAATACATTTTTTCTTTTTTGTGATACCCATATTGGTATACATATTTCAGTTACCTTATTCCCTTAATCACTGTGAATTTGATTTTTTAAACATGTGGCAACGTGTCGTTTAGAAGTAAAGCATATTCAAAATCATTTCAGTTGATACCCATTTCGTAATATCTAATTCATTTAACTTATTAAATAATTAAAAAAAAAGATGCAACAGGTGGCAACCCGTTTCAAAAATAAAAAACTTCATTGTACATCTACAGGCCAATTCGTTGAGAAAAACTACATTGTAACATTGACAAAAATTAACAAAATAATAATAATTATAGCTAATTTCCCTGAACATTCGAAACGTCCCTGGTACAATATTTCCGTATACATATATTGTGTGTATACATTTTTGCGATTATTTTTAAAGCTTTTTTCTCTTCGTTTTGTCCCAAATAAAACTTTATTAAAAGATGTTGACTTTTTATTATTAAAACAAACTGGTATGTTCGGATTCGATGCTTTTTTTCTCCACAGAAATCTGGTTACTGTACACATACTGTTTATTAAGCTTATTAATTGCATAATTAAATCTCCAACAACGTAAATTTTGAGTTACATCCCTACATTATTAAACGTGCGATATGTAGTTAAGAAACATAAAAGAGTGTGCCTCAGGCTATTGCATTGTAATGCATTTTAAGCTGTACCTAAATTTTTTTAAATAGACTCTTGCTCTCAAGGCCTCATATCCGCCAAGTACACCAACCAGGTACGCATAGACCGCCATGCATTGACAGGTACTAGAATATTTACCCTGTGTGTATGCTCACTTGAAAATGTGACACTGCGAAAAAAATCTATCCAAAATTGGATAATAATACCGAAATAAAACTTGAAAAGGATTCAGAGAGATTTTGGTTTGATATTACCAAGGCTTTTGTTCTGCACTTCATAGATGCTTTTTCATATTTCGGAAACACAAAGCAAACGTTTTTATTATAGTTTAACCATGCATGAGATTCGGGGCCGTAACTTCTTCGTACCTACATAACTTCAAGCATCTGTACACACTCAGCTATAGCTGTTCTGTAAATTTTTCCTCAAATGTTCAACTTGAATAAATTGTCTTCGTTGCTTGATTTTGTTCTTCACTTCACGAAACAAAAATAAAAATAGAAAAATTACATGTTGCCTCTGACGGAACCTGCTGGAAGCTGAGTAAGGGCAAGCATCTCTACACGTTTAGCTACAGCTGGACATACAAATGCATTTTCAAATGTTCAACTTGAATCGCGATTCCCACAATCGGTGTATTTAGCATGAAAAAATCAAGCAATAACTTGATTGAAAAAACCACTGTGCTTTTGGCTCAGTGTAGGGACTTGTGCCAAAAATGCGCGACATTTTTTGTTTTAACTCTGTCTGGTTTTTTAACTTTTTAACTTGTTACATATGTAAGTAAATTTACGCACTTACCTCCTCGATCAGTGGAAACATTTGTTTCATCCGGCCACTGGTGAAAACAGGCGTCAACTTCACGCGTATCTCCTTCCATCTGGGATTCTTCGCGAAGAACAAATTATCTGAGCCCAATGAGTCGGAGTGCGGATCAGAAGCGGAATGGCGATTTGAGAAATAATTGAAATCCTTAATCAAAATTGTTTTGATCAGCTCCAAATCGCGTATCAACAAAGAAGGTTTATTGAAAACGTATATGCCAACCGCTGCATGATCCCTAGCCTTTTCATGATTATACAAATACTGGAACCACGAACAAGGATCACTCTCAGAATTGATAATACCCTTGAGATTGCCAAAAATCATTGTCGGCTCAATATAAGGCACACGATGACGTCGCCAATACGAATATTGATATTGCAGCCAAAGGTAAAGTGCGAAGAAGAAGAAGGCCATAGTGGCTAAGATCTCAGTTGAGTGGGCAATTAACGCGCCCGCAACGCCGGATAGTACATTTATGGCGACCATAGTTTCGCAAGTGATTTTGTTTACAAACGTCGATATTGCTTAATTTACTAACACTTTCTATAACAAATTGCAATTATTCGAGTAATAAATAAATCACATTAGAACACAATATGAACAAATTAATTTAAACTGATTGCGAGTGGCGGGTGTCTAAGCGCTTTTATACCGCTATCAAGATTGTTGATATGTATGTATGTATCAAACGATAACGAACGTATCAAACGATTGCACCAAAGTTGGGAGCTGAGTAAACTCCTCTCTCTGTGTATATGTGTGTGTGTGATTGCCCCTCGGATAGCGTGTTGCACATCCTACCTTACAAGACATTGCTGAGCACTTTAGGCAAAGATTCTAACACATTTACACTTTTGTTTTTGTAAATGAGTAGTGTGACTATTAGTACTGAGGACTTTCTGATGGCAAAATTGAGGGAAAAGTACTCAATTTTTCCCTTGGCCTGAACGAAAATGAGGACTTTGATAAGCACTTTTGTAATTAGCGATAATGATAATATGAGTACTCATATGATACTCAGCTATCTTGTAGGCAGGGATGAAAAGTAGAAATTTCAGATTGTACCTAATATTAGAGTCCGACCGATTCCAATTTTTTTTTCAGGTACCGATGCCGATTAATCGGCTTATGGGGAAAGAATCGGCCGATGCCGATGCCGATGCCGATTCCATAAAAAATTACAAATCATTGTATTAATTCAGAAAATCAGTTAATTTAACGGAGTTAACAATACAAAAGAAAACAAATAATTGAATTAATTGGCTTGTTAGACATAATTACATACACATGTATGCACATATATATGTGTATGTAAATATGTATGTACATATGTATATAACATTTATGTACATCACATAAAATACTTTTTTATATTGTGTTAAGCAAGAAATATTTAGGAACATACAATTTCATTTCGTTTTGTACTAAAATACATTCTTTTGAACTCAATGCATAAGAACTTATGTATATGCTAGGCATGTATGAACATACATATAGTGGTCCACGAAATAAAAGAATTGCGATATTTCGACCGGTTTTGGCATTTGTCTTTTGTTTATTTAATGCTTATTATTGTTTTTTTTTTACAAAAGTCTAGCTGGTATACAACAAACACCATATAAATTCATATTTCAAACTTTGTACAAAAATTAGAAAAATTCTGCTTATTTTTACCAAAATTTCAAACTTGTTGATCAGAATTTTGGTATGGTTTGAAAACCATTTAATTCTAGTTTAATGAAGTGCTAGTTTCAAGCTGCTTTAAAATAACGTTAATTTTTGTAATTTTTTTTTGCTGGCAGTGTGCTCCATATAAAAGAAAATTGTCGGAAATAGTTTTGTATGGAAAAATGGTGAAACACCTTCAACCAAAAAATAATAATTTTTGTGAGCTGTCTGCAAATGTTTTTTGATGTTGGCTGTTGTCTGTCGCTTCACCTGAATATGTGAAAAGAAATTTCAAAGAATCGCCAAAGAATCGGCGAAAAAAGGCCGATGCCGATGCCGATGCTCAATTTTGTGCCGATACTAGCCGATGCCGATGGCGATTAATCGGTCGGACTCTACCTAATATCATAAAATAAGTGCACCTAATTGAGACAGATTGTACCTAAAAAGTTACATCATTCGTTTGTAGGCATATGAAAAAAGTGGGAAAAGCAACAACAGTTTGTAAGCCAAACTTAGCACAGTATGTAGATCCCTGGCTCTTTAAGCTGGGGTCGTTGGATCGAATCCCAGTGAAGAAGTCTGATGAGGAGATGTGGTGATCTCCGAAATAGCAGCTATAACTTCTATCATTTATAAATAATTGTTTTTCTGCAATAGTTTTCAATTAAAACCACCTCAAGCTTAATAAAAATTGTTTGTAATGTAGTTTTTTTATTAATATATATTTTTTTAATATGAGTATAAAAGGCGGATGTACTTTAAACTTGATTAGGTTTGGATATAAGCTAAGCTTATATCTACATGTAGACTACAGTCGAATGGGATTCGGAGAAGCTTTGTTTTTGTCTAATTTTGACTACTGAAAAATATTTGCGGAAAACACACTTTGCGAAATTTACTTTTTTATCCAGCTTTTTATAAAACAACAGGGAAATTCTGTTAATTTATCCGATTCCCTTTGATAGGTGCAGCAAGCCTAGAGAAAATAAATATATTAAATGGCGAATATGGGTCAAAAAGCTATTGCCCCAACTTTAGAAAATATAAAATTTTGAGAAATCCTAGACACGGAAATACATTTATTGGCGAATAAAATTTATAGTAAAGTTAAAAATGTTATAACATGCGGGGAACTTTAGTTTTAATGGTTTCAATAGATTCAAAAATGCATGCCAAAAATTGCAAAGGTAGAGCGTTTGAAGATTTCACACCATCATTCGAGAGGGGGTACGCCGGTCTAGGGCGCAATGACGTTTTATTAGAGCTGTAAAACTATCGATGGTTCTATCGATACTATCGAATTGTTCTATTTTTTTTTGCACTATCGAATGGTCGCTGGTCACTATCGATAGTCTTTGTTTGATGAAATATACATATTGTTTATATTATAGTACTACCTAGTATGTATTTCTTTGTTTTTGAAAATGGGAAATTGGCAACATTGATTTGCTTACACATCATTATTTTTTTCCTATTACCGGATGAACTTTTTGGGCTGGATAGTTCATAATTTTACAGGTAAAGGTAACTCCATTACAACAAGAGTTTAGTTTTTCTGAATTATCCAACTCAAAGGATTTAAAATGCCGTTATATTTATGTATTTAGCAATCTCTTCTCGTTCTCGAGATACAAAATATAATATTGTGCGGCATCGCGGATGACTGGTGCAGACCCACCAAATAGTTTTGCAGATATCTGGGGATATATAGCACGTCGATTCAGCACTGCCAGTGTAAAATGCTCCTTGGCCGGATCGCCGAAGGTCAATTAAGACAGGTATACAGGCTTGTGGAGGTGGGGTGCCCGAGGTTCTTTGCCACTTGGATTCACTAGATTTATTTTCCAAAGATCGCTGTCTTGTCTTTTTGGCACCAGTTCCCTTGGCTTATAGGGTGCTAGGGTGCTAGGGTGCTATCAGACCTGCCGCTATTTCCTATTTTGGGCTTTTGACTAGCGGCGAGAAACCCTACTGCCCATTCTCGTTTGATTTTCCGCTCCACCGTCATCCAATTTTTAGGAAAAGCCGAGCTTGAAGCAAGCTTTTCGAGAGCTTTGGAGCAGCAGTGGCGCTGATCCAGGTCACCAGGCCCGGAAGGGGAGGTAAGCGGTTACCGACGCTTTGGAGTCGCGCTTGGAAAAACTCACGACACCCGGGATTAGGTGGGAGGGTAGATTTGATACAGGGTCACCTCTTGAATAATGCAATTTCTCTTCGCGCTCTGCCATCTTGATATGAGTTTGTCTAGGAGCCCGTGGGACTGATAGCCCATGGCGCGTTGGAACGCTTTATACACACCCTAATTTCGTTCGATCTCCAAGCTTACTTTCGTAGGACATATGCTGTATTACGAGTAATGCATCTTATACGTAAATATGTACATACATATAAAGTAGATTACTCAATACTATATTAAATATTAAGTTTTCCTACTGGGATGTATTTATTTACATATGTGTATTTCCTTGGGGGATTAGCTAGCGTGCTATACACAATTAACTGCAGATTTTAAAAAACACACGCACTTACTTACATACTTTATCAACATTTAAATAATATGTATGTTGTTGATTTCAATATTTTAATAACTTTTATTATTTTTAAGCGTACGTTGACGCTTTCCATATTTGTAAATAAGTACATATGTATATACATACACGCAATAAAAAAAATGCAACAAGATTAATGACAATATATGTAAGTAATTGCATAAAGTAAACAAAATTTATTTCTTGTTGGAAATTATGACTTCATTAGTAAGCAAAAAAAATTTATTCAATTACTTATCATTTGTGCATTAAGATGAGATCTTTTTTTGCACAATAATACAAACAATAAAGTATGAGTATAATTGCATATTTAAAGACATAGATAAATGATAAGTTCACAAAAGCAGGCATTTAATCTGATTAGATATATCGATAAAAATAACTAGTACTTGTTAAGCAAAAAACAAAACCGACTTCAATTCTCATATACAAATTTAGGAGTACCGTTAATTTCTTCATGATCCAATGATCGGATCTAAACCAAATTAGTAGAGAAAACAATTAAAAGCTAAACAATTTCGAAAAATGTTCATTGCTGTAACTTCCGAAATAATTCGAATTTCGAAAAACTTTGAAACTTGTATTTTTCTTTTATCGTTGTGAAGCATAAACAGATAACTGCACAAAAAAAGCTGGATCTTCGAAAAAATGGTGGCACACTTCACAAATTTTTACTCTAGTTCATTTGACATTTTTTTACAATTTAAATTTTAATACTAAAAAATTTATACAAAATTAAGCGCTTTCAGCTATATTACAACAAGTAAAAGTACAAGTATTCTAAAATATTTGCATACTTTAAAGAGTTTTTCATTACAAATATCGCGAAACAATATATAAATCACACGTATACGTAATTTGTTACGTAGGGTGGGAGACACCCGAACGAAAGTTTTCGACTATATACATACACGCACTTGTTCACGACCAATCAAAGACTAAATGCCCGCGAACGATAGCTGTACTTGTTAGTTGCAGCTACAGGGAATTTTGCGACATCATGGTACCAAATGGTCAAACTGTACGTATTTCAAAACGGGTCGGGTGTTTCACACCGACTATTCCACTACCTAAATTGGAACTCAACCTAAACTCGCACGAACAAAAAATTAGATCGTGATCAGATACCAACGCCACTTGGTTGAAAGGAAGTGCTGCTGTAGAAGGTGGGACAAATAAAGTATCAAGCAGACAAACCAACAGAAACAACTGAATCTAACAATTTATTTGACAAGGGATCAAATCTAAGAAGTTTAATATTGAAATCACCAAATATAATGTCTTAATCAAGGGTCGCGGAGAGATATTCTAATTATGGTTATATACACACGAGTCCTAAACTTTTGTGCACCTATTCGAGATCACGACAGTCAAAAACTCAATCTCGGATGTAGTAGAGTAACTTACGAT